ACTTGCAAATTTGTATTCATTGTCGAACGAATTTCGAATCTGTTGAGCGACTCGGAGAGCAAGTAGAAAGGAAATTAAATTGCACGTACTCCTGGTCCAACTCCGTTCGCTCAATCTTGATTTTCTTTAAAAATTAGTTGTTACCTCTTATGAATGACATTTCTTACAAACTAGGCAAGAAACATTCTCCTTACCGCTTGATTTTTGTGGGGGGATTTTCGAACAAAAGTAATTTTAGTAAGTAAAGTTAGTAAGTTTATTCAAAAGTAAGTTTATTCAAAAAATTAAAATTATTAGCGCAAACAATTAAAAACGTAATTTTATTGAAACTCAGCAAAATTTGGAGACTCTATTGTGTCGTTCATTCTATAATATTATTCACCGATATCAAGTCCCGATGGAATTAAAAATTATTTTTCATCACATCATTATAATTAATAATACGAAATTGTTAGCACATGAAAAAAAAGCATCGTCTGTGTATTTTAATGGAAAACATATTTCGCAGTATATACAAGATTTGTTTATTTGGCGTCGAATTTTATACAACAGTTTTTGCTTCTTTTTATGCATAGATTAAATTCCCTCGCAGTTTGACTATTTAAATTCTAAGGGTTCTGTATACGTCAGTGACGCGATGCGAAAGTCATCTCTGCGATTGAATATCAATGTAAAATGCAATCGCACGCCGGTGGAAATGAGAATTTTTCTTTGTTCAAGTACCTATTGACCGTTGCCACCAAAATGAACCTCCGAGTAAACGAAAGAGGAAAAGGAAACGAATTCGTTTCTGAGACGAGTCTTTCCTTTTCAGGGGTAGTCATTACTTCAACTAGCCCCGAGCTAGTTCCGCGTTACATACAATCCAGTCATGATAGTCATCGCGGATGTAACGTCATTTATTAGCGAATGACAGAGGCCAGCCAGTTTTCGTTTATATATATCTGGGAGGGATTTTCATTTCGTTTTTCGACACTTTTTTGAATATTTGACTTTGGTGGTTCATTGTCTCACGAGTAACGTACTATAAAAAGAATATATATTTGAAGAGAAACGAACGCGAAGCGGAATGTGGGAAAAAAAGGGACAGGTTTTTGACCTTTTCACCAAAAGTTTCTCCACTTGAATTTTGTCGTTTAAATATTTCTGACCGAGAGAAAGAGTGACTCTCACAAAGACTGAAAAACGTCGACTTTTGTCGCAGACACGTTTCTACAGAAATGGCTTGTCACGAATTCAATGTGAATTCCATTGTTTTATATATTATTCGACGCGATGTTTCAAAAAAATAACTTGAACGAAGTCTGCCACTCGAAATTAGATATTGTATCGGTATCTATCCGAACGTGGAATTCGTGACTCGTTTATAGATTAATAACTATGATTGATTATTCCGTTTGAGTTTATGGTCGATCGACTGTAATTAACAATTCTGATGGATGTGTTTTTTCTTTCGCGTGCACACGAGCACAGCCGTGTCGAAGTGTTTTCACCGAATTGGCAGCTGAGCTAACATCGATTGCATTCTGATTCCACATTTCTGTTTATGCAAGGACGCTGAAATCCAATAACGCCATAATTTGCGCGCTCGTAATGCGCATTTCAGGTTATTTGCGCGGATGCGTTCGTATCGCAAGAAATTAGCCACCAGTCGTGTATCTTTCAATCGCTAATATAAGGTTTTTTTAAGGGCCAAAGATTTTTTTTTAACAAAACATGAAAATATGAGGAAAAAGTAATTTTATTAATTTTAAATTAAATTAAATTTTTTACCACTATGTTTTAAAAATTGTTAAAAAATTAATAATTAAAGAAACATATGATAGAAAAGTTACTTTAAAATTTATTTATTAAGATTAAATTATCTTAGTAATTATCATAGTAAAAGTTACTTTAGGATTTATTTATTAGGATTAAATTATCTTAGTAATTATAAATAATAAAAATTACTTTAGGATTTATTTATTAAGATTAAATTATCTTAGTAATTATCTCAGTAAAAGTTACTCTAGGATTTATTTATCAGGATTAAATTATCTTGGTAATTATTTCAGTAAAAGTTACTTTAGTATTTATTTATTAGGATTAAATTATCTTAATAATTATCACAGTAAAAGTTACTTTGGGGTTTATTTATTAGGATTAAATTATCTTGGTAATTATCATAGTAAAAGTTACTTTGGGATTTATATATTAGGATTAAATTATCTTGGTAATTATCATAGTAAAAGTTACTTTAGGATTTATATATTAGGATTAAATTATCTTAGTAATTTACTTTAGTAAGCAACGCGGATTGAAATCTACTACAGTCACCAATAAAACTCTTCGTAAAATTCATAAGAAGAACAATTTTATGCAAATGAAAATTGTACACCGTGGTTTTAAATTCATGGTGCTATTGAACTCAGGAAGGATTCTATAGTTGAACGCGATACGCAATGAAACCTCTGACAAAGAACAGCGCGCTCTTATTCGTCTCCTTGCCTTAGCCATAAACTTTTATGGAACATGTTATTTTATACAGTGTAACTGTACCAGTGAACAAAAATTGCGGGTATTAATTTAAACTGTTATAACATTGGATAAAGAGAGATCATACAACGACTTGTGTTTGGTCTCGTTTCAAAGAGTGAAGCTTCTACTTTGACAATCGTGAGTTCGTTTCTTCTGAGAATGATTTCACATCGCGTGACGGGTGATAAAATGAGGATACGTTTGTCTTGAAAATTAAAAAAATTCAAATACTCGTGAAAATGTCATCATCATTTTGAAGATTCACAACAATTCTTGAAACTTGTGAACTCGTCCAATTTCAACTGGTCAAAGTAGACATTCGTTTAGAAATTGGTTTCAAAGAATTTGAGAAATTCAAATTGAAGACTCTAAGCTTGTTTATCTGTTATTAACAGATAAAACCAATCTGACGTCGATTTGAGCTCAAGTCATGTAAAATTTTAAAAGTCGAGTGGATTTAATTATTGAACTTCTACATTTAAAATTTGTCTCAATTTAACATCGAAGTCGCAAAAAATTTTTTTCTATAAGTCTATAAAAAAAGGTATTATTAATATAAAATATTAAAGTCTATAAACTCTATAAAAAAAAAAACGCTGTTATCCCTAAGATAATTTATTCTAACAGATCTAAATTAAAGATCAAAAATTTGTTCTCTTATCTAGATCTGAAACTCTAAAAGAAGCTTACTCTTTTTAGTTTAAGTTAAATTAATGTTTTCTTTTATATATATCTAAATCTAAAACTCTAATAGATCTAAACTCATCATACATTTTTCATTTTTAAGTTCAACGTTCAATCTTTTAATTCGTTTAAAGACAAAACCGAGGCAAAATTTTATTGTCTGTTTGTGTCTAGTTTGAAACTAGTTTGATGCTTGTCGCGTATACACATTTTCAAGCTCGATTCGTGTGATGCGTTGCACGACGACGGATAAGCCTATTATTGTTTTATGCGCTGGCGTTCATGTTGTATTCTGCCTAATTTAATTGAATTTTGTGTATCTGGGATTATCCACGGTTGGGAGACCACGGTGAACTTAAGTGACAAGATACTGTCTATTTACGTTCTTAACGCGCGTTAAAAAGTCAGCTTGTGTTCAAAAGTTTCTGGCGCACGTTGCAATAAAATGTTGTCGCGTCGAAAAATTCAGCTCCATCTCAAAAGTAAATACGCTGGCGAAACATCCGGCAATGAAAAATTTTCCGCGGGGAAACATTGCGCAGTATACGTTTTCAATTTGTAACGTTGGCTGTTTTCTCGATTTCTGTTTGTTATTTGAAGTGTAGGAATCGAAACCGTGGACTGAAATGGAATATCAATGACTATATGCGCGGTATAGCCGTGTACAGGGCGTTCTTTTACTAGGATTTTTACGTATATACGACTGATCGTCTGTGTATTACGATTTAATCCTCTGCGACGTGAAAATATTATTTCCAATTGTTAGTTGCCAGATTTTCAATTGGGGTAAGTTGTTGACTCGGCTACAATTGACCGATGATTTCTTTCTTTTTACAAAGTAAACGAAATTTTGATTCTGGAGTTGGTTGTTATTACAATGAATCTTTCTTATTTTTCACTCTTTCGTTATGGTAGGAGTTCAATCGTGACCTACTATTGAGAACGACATAATTTTTCATCAGCATACGTTTCTCGGGAAACGTATTGAAATAATCGGAAACACTGAATTGCACTACGTTAAACCAATATTATTCATTTATTCGTATGCTGTATTGAATTGTCAGTGGACTGTGGTAAAAATTTAACAGTAAGCTTTAAACTTTGTTTCATAATCAAATATATCTAATAATTTAGTAAAATGTGGTACAATTCGAAACATGGCTCAATACACGATCCTACATCACATTTCCTGAATTAGAGTTCACTCACGTCTGATCCAAGTGAAATTTGCTGCAATTATTCACGATAACATTCGTCTGTAGGTGTCTTTAGTTTGATTTAGGCAATCTGATAGGTTCCTTTCGATTCAGTGGACCGAAGTATATGTAAGTTAGGCGCCAACAGTAACCTCAAAAGCAAATTTTAAGAGCGCCTTTAGGCCAAAAGATTAATATTATATTTCACAGAATTTTTATTATGTTATATTGTTATTTAATTTTTATTATATTGTTATTTATTAATAATATATTATATCGTTATTTAATTTTTATTATATTGTTATTTAATTTTTATTATATTGTTATTTAATTTTTATTACATTATTATTTTATTGCTATTTAATTTTTATTACATTGTTATTAATTTAATTATTTTGTTATTATTTATATTGTTATTTAATTTTTATTACATTGTTATTTTATTGTTATTTAATTTAATTATTTTGTTATTATTTATATTGTTATTAATTTTTATTATATTATATTATGTCATCTTATTTTTATTATTATTCTTTTGTTTCAAACATAAATCGACATCAGTGGGAGAGATAGAGTTCATCGGTAGATCATACAATTACCAAATTAATAATGAATTGTGTTTTTTTTTTTAATTAGTTAATCTTTGCTAACAGTTAGCTTGTCGTATAATTGTCAATCTTTTTGCCTTAACTTAAACAGCGTTTGAATAAATCCAATCGATGTAAGAAGTAACGCGTGTGTAGACACTGGGGAAATTCTGTAGGCCACATCCTCTTGCCCACGATACGATTCCAACAATTACTCCGTTGACCGTAAGGGGGCCACCAGAATCGCCCTGTGAAATTATCATTGTTCGCGGTAACCCATCGTTGATGGTCAAAAAAATGATCGAGTACGAATCAAATTTTTAAAATGCTGCTTACCTGGCACGATCCTTTCATAGCTCTTGGATCGCTGGCACAAATTTGCGTGTCGTAAAGAATTCCATAGATTCTCTTGCAAGTTTGCTGATTGGTGATGAAGAGAGTCACTTTCTTACATATCATCGTCGACGGCCCATTTTCCTGTACACGTGTACGAATATTCGAGTAAGATTATGACAAGTGGGACACGTCCCGTTCGAACACTTACTATGAGCCTGCCCCATCCCGACACAACAGCGGCCGCGTTATCCGGAATAAACTGATTTCTTTGTGGCAGGGCGCCGATTTGTATGCGCGGCCCTATCGCGAATGGCTCCCTGACCTAGAAAAAAAAAAAGAAAAAAAAAAAGAACAAAAAAGGAACCTTGAAGTTACAACGATTGTTGGCCATTTGAACTTTAGACTCACCTTGATCAAGGCTATGTCGTGGATCCAGATGTTGGACGGATTGTATTGAGGGTACATGACAATCCTCACCACTTGGTGCACGGAATATGGGTTGTTCAAGTTCTTGGTTCCGGCGACAATTCTGACCATGTTGGGGGTCATGCTGTTGACGACGACAGCGATGTAACAGCCGATTCGGTTAGATTGTTAGAAGATCCCGCTTCGGCGGGATATTGCGAAACTTACCGTTCGAGGCAGTGAGCCGCGGTGAGCACGTAATTTCTGCTGAGGACAGACCCGCCGCAGAAATGGCCGCCGCCGTTTCTTTGAAGCGAAACCTTCGAGACGGGAAAAACAGTTATTTCTCGACGATCGCTAATATCTCGCCGTCTCTTTGATATTTTCAAACAATTGGGAAACGATTCAGTTTCGTTTTCGTTTCGATCTCCTTGGCGCTAAACAACTGATCTTCTCTCTTCTTACCTGGTATAGAATTTCGTTTGGCCCCACGTCTACGCCATTTACGATTCTCGGGTCCAAGTCCTGCGTTGTATTTTCGGCTGTAACAATGATTTTTTAACGTTGATACGTGCATTGATTTGATCCTTTTCTTGTTTTCTTGCTGTGACTGCCTCACGAAAATATTCGAACACGTATTAGGGGAAATTTTTACACGTTAAAATGTAAAATGTCATGGAACTCCTTTGAAATTTCATTAACAATGTAATGAGACTCGATTGCCATTATTATAGTAGTAAAATTTGGTGCCAATCTGGGAATGTGTATACAAATTAATATTAAGTGTATTATAATAAGAATATTATGATATTATTATAATTAAAATATTAAATATAAGTAATATTTAATATTTTATATTTTAATTATAATAATATCATAATATTCTTATTATAATACACTTAATATTAAGTGTATTAACTTGTTAACTCATTAATATTAATATTAATATTAAATATTGAATACAAAATATTGAATATAAAATAAAATAGTATATTGAATATAAAATATTGAATATAAAATAGTAGTCTTATTATAATACACTTAATATTAAGTGTATTAACTTGTTAACTCATTAATATTAATATTAATATTAAATATTGAATATAAAATAGTACATATTATTATAATTAAAATATAAAATAAGAATATTATAATAATTATAATAATTGGAATATTATAATAAGAAGATTATTATTATAAACTATGAGCGTAATTGACACTAAAGGTAATTCACCACTTACCATTAGAACTCGCTAATACTGTGGCTAACAGCACTAAACTAAGTATCGAATTCATGTTTTCTGTAGAACTTACTGCGACTTACTGCAAACAGTAATTCACGACGGAGAATCTAATTTGCTCGTATATATGCGCGGTATAGTTTAAAAAAGTGAACGCTGATCGATAAATCGATTATCTTCAATTATCGATCCAGCTAAGTCATCATTTTAGTACATATTAGTCCTGACCACACTTCTTATCGATTCGCGTGTCTCTTTTTTTTTTCTGTGATAAATTGCAAATAGCGAAGTAACTACCGAAGATTGCGGAGAAAATAGGAAATTTTCTAACGCGAGTGAATAGAAATATAGAATATTTGAAAAATCTTTCCAAATCTAGTTGAAAGCTTGTGTAAATTTAGCTAGTAATTATTACAATATTATCGCATTTGTAATTATTCTTCATTCATTCGATATAAAATGCAGTAATAAATAATTTTGCTCAATACTTTTTCATTTTTATATGTTCTTATGGGATATTAAAGTACTTTTATATTTTTGTAAAATTTTATAGAGCAGAGCAAATTTTGTACAGAAAAACGTGGATTATCTGAAATTCCATTATCCGAATGATCGATTATAAATATAGTTAATTTTTTTTTTTTACCTAAATTTAATCTATATATATAATTCAACAATCTTTACATTTTGAATCACGTATCCTTCCTGTGTCAAATGTTTCCATTTCAGTGAATCATTTGCCTTTAACACCAAAATGAATTGCCAAAATGATCAAAATGATCAATTTGTAATTTTTATCAAATATTTTATAGATGTAACACAATGTGTTCTTAAAGACTTAAATGTATAAATGAAAGCTCGTGTATTCCATCGTATTATAAAGTTTTTCCATTTTTTTTTTTTTTTATTTTAATATCTCCGATGGAAATTTTATATTTCAATCTTTGATAGTGTCAGTGTGTACTTGCACACTGATTTCATTATTATATTAGCATGTAACGTTGAAAGAAAAGGAACGACGCTGTAATTAAAAGATAAATGAAATATTATTGATAATACTAAATTCAATTTAGTCACGAAAAAAAATCTGCAGTTAGCGATACTAAAAATAACGAAACAGAATTATTAAAATCTTGAAAAATTGATAAATTAGATCGGGTTACATAAAAATGGATCTCACAAAAATGTATCATTGATTGTTATAATTTATTATTGATTCAAGTTATAGTCATTATAAATATAAAGTTAGGTAATAGAAGTTTCAATCATATCTAGTGATTATTATTCATATTTGGAAGCTATTTAATTTCTTAATTTACGACTACAGTTGCGCAAAAAGTAATCTGATTGGTAACTGACAATTATAACTAATGACATGATATTACGTCTATGATAAAGATCAGTAATCCAGTCCAGTAAACGCGATTAACGATTAACTGAAGTAATTAAAGGAAATGTAATCAGTGTAATCAAGATTAACTCAATAATCATTGATCACAAAGTAATTATGTCTTCGATTGTGATTAACAGAAATTTAGCATTGTGGGAGTTACAATGATACTAGACGGCAAAAGGTCAATTAATTATTCATTAAACAATTACAAATTACAAATCGACAATTATAAAAATGTATCAAATCAGTGTACCGTAATTATTGATTTATATCAAGAATTACGGTACACTGATTAATTGATTAATGATTATGATTACCACGATTACTTTTAGCAATCAGTTACAAGAGTAAATCACGAGATAATCAGTTATTGTGCAACTCTGCTTATGACACACTCGCAAATATGGTTCTTTCAAAACGATTATCGAGAGAACTGCTTTAGTTCGGATAATAATATTCGATGTCGAGAGAAAAATGTAGTAGAACTTTTATTATTATTGTGTAATAATTAGAAATAATTCAGAGATAACCTTTTCGAGTCAGGATGAATTTCATGAAATTATATTATAGTTTCGTGCGACAACTGTAATTACTGTAATTAAAGGCACGTGTATACCTCTCCTTCGTTATCACACGATTAATCTAGCTTTCGCAATTAAATATATTAGTTTTAAAATATCAGTCTTTCCTTGTAATTTAATTGTTATCTGTTCAATTGTTATCTGTTCGACGTTTCGCAATAGATCTAACTGCTCAAGTATTTTTATTAATAATTGCGATATATATAACGAAGTTCGGTAAGATTTCTTCTATTGTATGAATTAAAACCTCGAATCTGAAGCATGTTTAGCACGTTTTGAAAACGAAATATCATTTTTTTCTCGTTCCACATTGGAATACGTTCTTAATTCTTAATTCTTGACTCGTAAATAGTACAACAGACAATTAATACTGAAATTAAATTTAATTCTAAATAAAAAAGTTCAATGATTTAATTTAGCCTTCGTTTAGTCCAAATAGAGTTTAGGAATTAATTGTGAAAAAGAAAGTGCTTACTCATCGAATTTTTCGTCAGTAACAGGAAATTTAATTCTATTTTACTCTACACAAAGATAAAGGTCGAATTTTTATTGTCAATTTGCATCTGAAAAATGTTAAGTGCTTAAGAAACCTTGATGTTTCCAATTGTACAGATTAAAATTTTGCGGAGGTATCATCGAACGAATGTGAAACAGTGAATGAAGATATCAAACGTACGATTTATTTATTTGGCGGGAAGAAATATACAGAGTGCAGTGTTAAACGCAGATTGAAAAATACTGTCAATTTCGCGCAAATTTCGTGAGAACGCTGACGTCCCGCGCGAATTCGCACGCTCTCAGAGTTCCGTATCCGTGTGTTTTACTTCGACTTCTAGTTCACGTTTCACTTGCCGGATTTACACAGCGTGATCCTTTATCCAATTAAGGTGAGACGACACGCGGGTATAGACAGTTGGGTAGTCGGTGAGGGCGCAGCCCATTGCCCAAGAAACGAGACCAACGAGTTTCCCATTGACGGTCAAGGGGCCACCGGAGTCACCCTGGTGATAAAAAAGAAAGAATCACAAGTTTTGCAAGAACAATACCAGCGAAATTCCAAAGTACTGGCAATTTTGTGAAACAGAGGAAACAGTGGTAAATTACGATTGAAATAACGATCGAAATTACGTATATGTATATAAAATATAATATACATATATTTATATGTATATAAAAAAAAGAAAGATGTTAACTACTTGCGCTGGCAACTGATTGCGGACCGTAACGAGTGACCAAACCGTATAATTCGTCGCTTTCTTTTTGAACTCGTTCTGGAAGTTATTGAGAAGTAATAAATTTTGTTACTTGCGTTACTTAAATATACTCATTTAAGTAAAATAAAAGTAATACCTATTTTGTTTTACTTAATATACTCATTTAAGTAAAATAAAAGTAATACCTATTTCGTTTTACTTAAATATATTTAAAACTGAGAAAATATTACAATTTTGGAACAAAAAATTCTCAATGTGAGTGGCAGTCATTCCAGCGCAAGAGGTTAACTACTTGCGCTGGCAATTGATTGCGGACCATAACGAGTGACCAAACCGTATACAATAATTCGTCGCTCTCTTTTTGACCTCGTCAAAGATATGATATCACTGGATCGAAATTACTAAGAAGTAATAAATTTATTATTTGTTGTTGCCTGGATTATATTTAAATATACTTAAAACTGAGAAAATATTGCAATTTTGGGCCAAATATTCTCGACACGTTATTCCAGCGCAAGAAGTTACACGTTGTAGTACGAGTGAAGTTGCACGGAGAGATCGTCCGTGATATTTTTGCGAAAAGATTAATCTTTCGGAGAGAGGAGTACGATAAACTGAATTACGTGGGATCAAGGAAATGTCCATTAATCGTAAAAAATATAGAGAGTGTCAATATCAATGTATGACTTACGTTACACGACCCCTTTTCAACCTTCGGATCGTACGCGCAAACTTGTGTGTCGTAGACGTTGTAATGCATTTTGTTGTATATGTATTTGCAATACTCTTGATCGGCAATCAAGATGTTCACGCGTTGCAGATTAACGGTTGTGGGACCTCCTTGCTGCAAATGTACACGTCGTGTAAGTGAGATATAATAAAGAAATCACTTGCATTTAAATATACACGTGTACTTGTTGGCGTGAAAGATTCGAAAATGGTGGAAACTCACCCGAAGTCTACCCCATCCAGAAACTACTGCCACGTCGTTGGTCTTGATGACATCACTCGGCGATGGAAGTGGCACGAAGGAAATCACATTTGACTTTACGAACTTTTTGCTGACCTGTGATAATGCCACGTGACGAAGTAAGAATATTTCGAATTGAGGGAAATTCGTGTTTGGTTACACGTGGATACCTTGAGCAGCGAAATGTCGTTCCTCCAAGAGTCTGCGGCGTTGTAATTTTCGTGAATGATGATATTCGTAACCGGGTGCTCGGAACCGAGTTTGGTGAGGTTAATCGTGCCTGCTACAACTTTGATGCTGCCCGGGGTTTTCCTTTGAGAAAGAAGAACATCAAAATAATAACTGTTTGTGGGGAAACAAATTTTTTTCTACTCGAAGACTACCGTTAGAGATTATTGTCTCCTTGTTCAACATTAAATCACTTTTATTAACTCTCTTCTGGTATATAAATATTATAAAAAAATCTTTTCATGAATAGTATTGTATAATAGCGTACATATATATTATATATTTTTTCGATAGAGCCTTCGTCTTCGAGAGAATCGAGCTTGAAAATTTATCAAGTATACTTGAATTTAGTTAACTCGCGATGGAAGACAATAATTATCAGAAGATTATTTTACGCGAAAAGACAAGTATAGAGTGCACAATAACTTAATTTATCAAGTCTATTTTCTTGGTAAATGAACGAAAATCTTTTATTCTATATTTTTCATTTATTTTCGCGCATTTTTAGATTACTCGGAATTTGTATACTTGAAACTCTACTTTTCCCAAGACGAAGAACAAATTTTATCCTTCCTTTTCTCAACTCGGTAAAATCGGTTGACCATAAGAGACACTCTGTACACCTAGCGACATTCTACAATAATTCTAATTAATTTAAAAACGCGCAAGATTTCTCTAATTTTCTAACTTGATTGCACCTCTGATCTTCTCGAATTAAAGACTTTGTCGATGCCCTTCGTTTGCTCCTAAAAGCCTTTCGTACGTAAACCACAGTTTCCGAATGCTTACCCCACGGTGCAATGAGCCGCCGTAATGACATAATTCTCATTAAGAACGGACCCGCCGCAGAAGTGGAACGAGCTGTCTTTGTTTTGCAGAGATACCTACGGTTAAAAACGTACTTTTAACTCGACGATATCCGCGAAGCGAGAGACAGATGACAGAAAGAAGGACGAAGCCATTAGAACAACGGATCAGACAAGAATTTTCTGAGGAAAACCGATAGCACGCGATTTTTTCTCTGTCAGTCGAGAGGAATGACGTCTCGTTATTGAAATATGGCTCACCTGATACGGTATCTCACCCTCTTTGGCGTTCTCTCCGTTCACGATTCTTGGATCGTATCTGGACAACAATCCACCTGTGCAAATAAAAATCGTGTGAGATAATTAGTATCTGGAGACAGTCGCTGCTGATTACTCTGCTTATCACCTACGTTCAATCACGGAAATAGCAGTGAGTGTGCTTTCTCTCGCGAGCGAAAGAATCCTCCAAGTTTCCTTTAACTCGACACGTTTCGCAAGCCTCGACCACAACGTTCGACGAATATTTTAATAATATACTAATATTATAATATAATATAATATAATATATATTATATACTATAATATAATTATAATATTAAATATTATAATTATATTAATATTATATTATTATATAACAATATTATAATATAATTATATTAATATTATATTATTTAACATTATATATTATATAACAATATTATAATTATATTAATATTATATTATTTAATATTATAATATTATATAATATATATTATATAACAATATTATAATATTATAATTACATTAATATTATATTATTTAATATTATACTAAAATTTTAATATTTTATACGCATCTTTGAGAATAGAATTAACGCGTTATTCGTTGAGAGCAAATCGAGTAGATTTCTTTGTAGAGCTTACTGCAATCTCGGCTTGCTCCTTAGGTGTCAGTTGTTTTGATATTTTTCTTTCATGCTTCTGTTTTTTTATCTTAGCTTGGTAAATTAGAAATTTTTACTCGTTCGTTTCAAGTATATAGAAATTTTTAGAAAATTTAGAAAATTTACAAGATCCTTAAATTTCAGGTGAAACATTTTTATTCGAAATGTCTCCCAGTATATCACAAACGATATTCTATTACAATATTATATGTATTTTTACGTAGATAAAGTAGTTATGATTTCGTCAAAATAATTTTAACAATTTACCATGTTATTGTTACATTGTTGTTTGGTAATTTAATTTTTTTTATTTAAAAATAATTTACTATCAAAAGTTAAACACCATTTTTAATAATTTCGTCACCCACATGGATGATCTATATGTACATATATGGTGACGTAGCGATTACGTTAAAAAAAAATAGAACCTTGGTAGAAAGTCAACGTTTCGCGCGACAGATGTTACAAAACACGTTTATTCTTTGAATCCTCTGCACATTTTCTCGCGTCACGTGAAAATCTGCGTTTTAAAAATTTCTTGAAAAATCCTTGCGGTCCACTTAGGAACAATATCTCGCAGTGAAACGTGAAATCCCGCGATCAACGTCATATTCAAAACTTAAATCTCGGTTTCCTTCGGCAGGGGATTCATTTTATTAAGTAGAAAGTAGCGTTCGAATTTTCCATTTTTTCCTCTTTCTTTTTTCCTTTTTTTCTGTTTTTTTTTTTTTTTTTTTTTTTTTTTTTTTTTTTTTTNTTTTTTTTAAATCGAGCGAAACGTATGAAAGTTGCGACCACTCACCGCTGGAGAGGGCGAAAAGAGCAAAAAGCGTCAACGTTGTCACGAACATGCTTGCTGTCCAAACCGTTTGCCGCCGGACTGAGTTGAAACTCCATGCAGGCTATTATTTTATATACCCTGACACGTTGCTGCGAAAATACAAACTGAATCATTTCTCTCTCTCTCTCTCTCTCTCTCTCTCTCTCTCTCTCGAGATTAGATACATTTTTGATCTGTGTTGTATCAATACAGATAGATTTCGCGATTGATCCACATTGCCGTGATTAATTATTTTCTGATAATGTTGACGTACGCTGATAAGTCGGATGCTACAGACGTTCCGCCTGGTTCGTTCAACACTTCACCGGTTACCAATGACCCAATGATTCTAATATCGTGCGCGACACGTTATGATTTATGGCTTCGAAAATTATTTCCTGCATTTAGAAAATTATTTAGAACATTTAGAAACTTTGTTAAAGATTGTCTAAAATTTTATTGGCGTATCTGAATCACGACGACGTGTTGTAATATTTTATAATCGATTAGACTTTCCGACAAATTTTTAAACAAAGGGAACTTCGTGCAGATGAAAATAGATAATTTGATAAAATAATGTCATAAAAGGTTCAAAGAAAATGATACGTACGTGTATATATTATGTAACGTTGTTGCACATACATCCGTGTTGTATATTTTGTAAAATATTCTTATAAGTATTTTGTAAAATTTCACGTTGTATATTTTTTGATTTCGTAAGACGGAATTCCCATTTGTTAATCGTAACGTAACTGATGACGTACGTATAAAGCTGAATTCCCCTTTGTTATTAATCTCCGCTTAACAGGTACTTGACGCGTAAACATTGACACGCGATAAGAGGAAATCTTTCAAGTTATTAATCACAACAATAATTAATTCTATTTGGATAATGATACTTACTGCTGATACCTGTTATAGACTGTGGATTTATACACTGATTTCAATTGTTTGAAGAAATACTTATTTACTCGACTCTGCTTTGAAATTTTGTTATAATTTTTTTGAATTATTCAGATAAGGTAATTCTAATATTTGTTTAAAAAGAAATTACCTGTCGTGTTTAGCATCTTGAAGATTAGGAATATATTTCAAAATCTTCGTCCTGATCTGAGTCGAACACGTATGTAATTTTCTTCTCCCCCTTCGTCCATTATCTTCTAAATAATTTTTAAAAATTCAACATTTGTCTGCGAAACGATTTTTGATAATCGTATAGAACTATAATATAATGTAATTTGCAGAAACGGCGAGACAAGATTTTAATTTAATTTCAAGTCGGGCAATATTAAATTATTGTACAAATGAAAGAGAATCGTGTCGCGTTTCATCTTTTTCAATTTCTATGTTGCAAAGAAATTGCTCGTTAAAGGAAATTTGATAAAAATGAGATTTAATCTTGTATCAGATTCATGATGGATAAGGGGGATATCAAGAAACAAAGAAGAAGAGATTAAGCTTTGAAATTATTAAACTTGATATTAAATTCGACTGTAAGAATACATTTTCTTCCTCAAAATAAAGTACAATTTTGTTTCTATTTGACTTAAATAACATAATTTTTCCGAACAGAAAAAAAAAGGAAGAAAACATATTTACGATATTGTAATAAAAATGTTGAGAAGTAGTACCAAAATTTTGTCAATAAAATAATTATTTAATCTGCATCGACAAACACAATTTAACACGTTATTCACATTGGCTTTTTAATATAGAAATTTGTAGATGACTTTTTTTCGCGATTTGTCAATTGTACTGAGATATCACATGAACATTTTAATTTAAATTACATTTTAATGAAAATATCATATATTTTATAATATTATATGTATTATTATTATAATATAGTATTGTATTATATATCATATAATATGTTCATTAAATTATAATATAATATTATTATATTTTGTATGAGCATATTACATTATATGTATATAATGCATTATATTTTAATAAATATATCACACGATAGAAATTACACTTTCAATGTACAGATTAGTTGGCTTTATCTTTTGAGCACATTGCACTGCGCAAGTCAGTAACGAAAATGATTGTGATGCGTCATCGATAACTAGAATATAAGTGAGATCTCACTTATTAGATGATATTGTGATATTGTACGTGTTGCACTCGTCACTATTCTATTCCTACTTAATTCTTCATCGTGATTTGTTGTGTCAATCTTTTTACTTCCATATTATTAACATGGAATGTTTTCGCCAATATCACGTCAGATACATTTTATCACTTTTTAAATTATATTTTTTCAATTTAAGATTAAATCAAATTTTAATTTCAATTATATTAAACTAAATTTTAATTTAAATTAAAAGTTTTTTAAATTTAAAACCTAAAATCACTGATACATTTTTTCTTAATTCTTTGCCATCTTTTTTTTGTTTCATTTTTGGAATCTTTTTATTTCCACCTTCTGCAAGATCTGCAAGGTCGAGTCCCAAAGTTCCAGTCTTGTTTCAAAGAGCTTAAACTCTTGTCTGAAAGCTCGACTTACGATGTAAAGGTAGATCTCACTCTCTCGTATCGGAGCACTACAATGCACATTACAGAAGGCATAATTATGAATGTTTATGTTCTATCTTCGTCCGATCTTGTGAGGTTCAATGTCTTATTAAAAGTCTAATTGCACCACTCGTTATTATTTCTTCTGTGAATCGAACGTCTTCCCCGCTTCCTCACCCCCCCCCCTCTCTCTCTCTCTCTCTCTCTTTCTCTGCATCTTCTCCTTTTTCCCCCCTTCACTCCAGCCTCTGAATTATTCGAAGTATCTGCTCTTAAAATATCGATTTCTACAAAAGCGCAGACGGAATGAACGATTCAAAGGTTATCCGAGGAAAACGAGGACTCTCGAGCCAGGAGAGTGTTCGTGTGAATTATTCGAGAGCGGAGTTTTCCTTCGTTGGTCGGAAGGCTTGGATTTTCATGGAAAACCGGAACGAAAAGTGTCATTTCAAGGGGACGTGGTTTCTTGCAAGTAAGCTCTCTCTAAAAACTCCCTCCTTGTCACGTAGAATGCATCGCCGTTTACAAATGAACGTAATTTCCATCTAATTTCTTTGCGCCCTGTCTGTCGGTTGTAGGCGAATGAATTATCCTTAAATGCGTTTACTCGCGTTAGGGTAGCTTAAATGTTTCACGAATGCAAGGTGTGTCTGTTACGCGAGGCGTTTTGAGATTTCATCTCTGATTGACTAAATTAGCTGCGAATATATGTATATTTAGCGTAAAAGTTATGTAACTGTCTTGTGTATATAATAAGTTAGGTTGAAGATGATTCTATTGAATATTGAGGTTCACTGATATAATGGATATATAATTGGTTATTTTTATGAAATATATATACACTATATGTACTTGTAATTTCTTTCAAACATATATTTAGTAAAAAATTATATAACTATCCTGATATATTATATAAGATATAACCTCGATATTAATATAATATATCCAATCCTATATAATATATCCCATGTAATATTTAATATTGAGGTTATATCCTATATAATATTATATTCCATATAATATTTAATATTGAAGTTATATTCAATACAATATCCTATATAATATAACCTTAATATTAATATAATATATACAATCTCACATAATATTGAATATTGAGGTTATATCCTATATAATATATTCTATATAATATTTAATATTGAGGTTATATCCTTTATAATATATTAAGCGTTAAAAATGATTCCATTGAATATTGAGGTTTTGATATAATGAATTATTGCTTATTTCTGTGAAATATACTTGTCATTTTTTTATTACTCAACAAAAAGTTTGAGTAATATCTGACTGCATGTATATGTACAACAATTCCTGCAGAGTTTTCGATATAAAATGATCGAGAGTGCTAAAATCGCTGTTGATGTTACGAGTGCTCTTGTCAATTTATTCTATATATATCTTGATATCAAATATCGTACTAGATGTACACGGAGCGTGTGTTAAAATTTTCAGCTCTGGCAGCTAAAACTATTTCCAGATCTGTTTAAACTTTATCAACGTGATTGATCAATCTGGCCAGGAGTTTTAGTGAAATTTCACAATCTACGTAACACGAAATATAACGAGAGTGTTCTATGATAAAGAAACATTGTATAAGCCTGTTATCATTCTTCTTATAACGATAGCGTCGATTGATAATGCGTCATTGACGGTGAATTCACATTTCTTGACGATACTGTAAAATGATCGAGAGTGCTAGAATCGCTATTGATGTTACAAGTGCTCTCGTTTCACACGCTAGATATATACACATATGTTTCGTACGTTCAAACTTCTGGTTGGCAGTCTGGTATTTAAACTTTTAAAAGGTATTTAAATTTTCAAATTCATTTAAATTTATTTATCGATGTGATTAATCACGACAGTCGCGTCTCATTGCATTGTTAATTAAATTTCGAACATCTCTCGTGTAATCTCGTGCACGCGTGTATGTACGCATGAAATGTTTTCCATGGTAAAGAGGCATTGTATAAGCCTGTTGTTGTTCTTCTTATAACGAATATTATTATTCTCGTCGATTGGCAGTAGCGGTGGCGAATGCACATTGGTCCTTTTTAGTTCGCCAGGTGGCACCGGAAACGGGAGCAACACGTGAAGCTCTCCCCCGAGAGAGGATGGCGTATTGATCCTTACAGCACCACCTGACCCGCTATCCTTTTTCAACCAGCCGCATTATCCTTCTTAAATCTAGCGTCGGAGGGGCCATAATTGCATTTAGATTGATCGTATTAAGTCTTCGTTTGTCTTGCTGCTTAATGGGGAGGGGGACGGATATGCATGTTGGAAGAATTTCAATCGAGATGTGAGTTCCCGAAGTTTCGTCGAGTATCGAGCCGCGTCGTTTCCGGACGATTCCCAGATAACGATTTCAACTAAATCGGATAAATTTAGTGGCACTAGGCGAGCAACGTCGAACTTCGCCGAAACTCTTCGATCGAAAGTTGAAACTGAGGTACATACGGAGTTTGAGAGGACATCGAAAGTAATCTCCTTTCGTTATTAACGTCGAGACTGTTTGACGCGTCTTACGTTTCTCACGGATCGATAATTCACGCAAAGAGGATTTACGATCTTTTTCACC